GGGTGGGGCTGGCAGAAGCTGATAACAGTTGATAAGATCCGATAAGGGGCCTCGGAAGAGGAGGGTCATCAAATTCGTGGCGCAGGTTACAGCAACAGTGGGAACTCAGATCCGTGAGGTGATATAGGGTGTGGGACGGGAACATTATTGGCGGGCGACAGAAAGTGATAACAGTTGATAAGATACGGTAAGCGGCCTCGGAAGGGGAGGGTCATCAGATTCGTAACGCAGGTTACAGCAACAGTGGGACCTCTGATCCGAGAGGCGATACAGGGTGATATGATAGTGATACGGGACGGGAGTGTTATTGGCGGGTACGGAAGTGATAGGAGCTAAAATTGACAAGGTAGCATGGGAAAATCCGCTTCACCGCTCACAACAACAATGCGATCGATATGACTCAAGTATAACGATCTCAGTGATTCCAACAGAACTCATTCCTCACTGCTTATTAGTAACGACATCGTGTACGACCGCTAAGCCAGCTCTATTCCAAATGCATGTGGTTTGTTTACAGAGATGTTATGAACAGCAGCAACTGACTTTATCACTCTTACCACAATTATCTTCCATCAGCAACTTCAGTGAGGGCCATTTAAAGGGTTCCACTGCTGAATGCGGTAGTGCATTCCAAAGCAAGACGCTTTAGGAAGACAGATTGCATAAATTATAGGCTGCTTCAGTGGCTGTCCAAACAGGCTGCACTATTTCCGTGTAGGTTATGAACGTACCAGTCGGATCGCTGGCTAAGGCCGGCTTTCCTCCTTCTGTGATGCGGGGGGGGGGCGCTGCTGCTGCTTCTGCGCCTTGACGGAACAAGCGCTGCTTTTCAGTTCTTGGCTGATGCAGAAGATTCCTTTGAACAGTGTGGTTGGTCAACGATCCTTAACTTAGCACGCGGCAAATCCGCATGGCCCGGCGAAGCCGGGCCATGTCACAGAAGGAGGAGCGCCCGGCGACAGCCGGGCGATCCGACTGGTTTATATATAATTATGAACAGAACTGTTTCATTCAGGGCACGTCGTAGGTTGGGATCCCCAAATGAGAATAGTATGCCCCTGAGAAGTGCTTTTTCCATGGGAGAAACTCTTCGTGATTGCTGATTTATTTCCCGTTCCACCGACCACTAAATACCGTCTTGTTCGCTGCAGATGCTGGGGCGTGTCAGGAGGCTGGGGCAGTCCGTTCCGACCAATCATTGAAGCAAGCAAGCGACAGCGATTGACGTCGCCACCAAACCCAGCCCAGTGACACGCCCCAGCGTCTGCAGCAAATATGTACCTTTCTGGTCCGGGCGCCGCCGCAAATACCCTCAAACTCTGGTAAGGCGTGGGAGAGGGTGTCCTGCTTCCTTCCCTCGCCTCCGCCGCTCGACGTGCATCTATATTCGGAGAACCCTGCGTAAGGTGAGCGGTTGCCTCGTCGAAGGCTGGGGGAGGGGTCAATTCCAGAGTAGAGATTTGGAGGGATTTTTTTGGAGGAACCTCCCCAACGCTAAGCAGCGTGCTCTGATCGCCATTGTGGACAAGTACTCGTGTATTTTTTTGCGATAGAATACTTTTACAATATTATTGTAGGTTTTCCTTCCAGCATGTGCCCATGGATTATAAAATAATAAAGTTTTTTCGAATCCGGTTCCACCATGGACAGAGCTGGGTCCCGTTAGTTCAGCGGCAGATCGGTTCTGCGCCGCATAAAGAGCTCTCAGTATTTTCAAGAGAATGCCGATTCGACCCCTAGCTTCGGAGTAAGAGCGGTGTTGAGCGCTATTCGGGCTTGGGATGGCACTTTGCACTTTCGCCAGTTCCTCGTGCAGGTTCCTGCTAAATTATACTTACGCCTTGTTGAGATCTGAGTGCCGAATCCTTGCTTTGGAATAATTTTGTCCTGTAATGCTGGGTAATGGTAATGCTGCAAATGGCTCCACTCACGTGACACCTTACCACACCAGCAGAAGGCCCGCCCCGCCCATACCACGAAGCGAGGAACGGCTTCTCACCATTATGCCTCTAGTTCCGCGTTAGTCCTGCTTTGAAGGCCAGGCGCAATGCAGGTACAGACAGTGACCGTCTGAGCTGCCAAAGATGAGATAGGGCACATGGTGAGCTGTAGGAATGGTTCCCCAAAGGGCGGGGTCCGAAGGTGGGTGAATCACCTATTAACGCTTGGAATTTGTCACAATTAAGCTACAGGGCCGCAGAGCACTCACAATCAGGGCAGTAGAGCGCAGGCGAACGCAGATGGTATTTGAAGCTCTTGTAGTTCGTAAAACTACGAACGGCAACCTGAATGCCCTGCTTAGGATGTGCAGTTCTTGTCACTGCAGACGCTTGGGCGTGCCACTGGGAGCTGAGTTTAGGCGTGGCTCCAGTCCGTTCTCCACCAACTGCTAAGGCGGAAAGCGAAGACAGTTGGTGGAAAACCTGCTGGTATTGCGCCAAACTCATCCCGTCTGAACCGTCCGTGTCTCGTAGCCAAACGAAACTATAAGGCAGCACAATTTATAATTCTCAGCGCAGCGGCGAAAGAATTCTGCAAACGAGTCCCTGTGCAACATTCGCAACCGAGAGATCCAATCCAGTACTGTAGCTCGTCAAGTCAACTAGCTATGAAATTTTTGCTAGTTTCTGTACTATGCCTCAACTCGGATGTCTCGAACTACCCCTTTGCACAGAAGGAGATCTCAGCGCGCATGGAGCGCATAATTATCTCACCCTCCTAGGACTATATTCTGGGACAGAACTTGAGGGGCAGATTTAGCTGCTTCGATTACATACAGGACATGGTAACTTTATTGAGTCAATAAAGCAAGTTGCATTATGCGCCCCATTGCGAACTTGCGCGCCAATATACCATTTTCTTTTCAGTGTCCTTTAAGGCCAATTTTTTTTTTCTGCGTTTTCCCTAGACATTTTGATTTCTTGGGTTCTAAGGGTATTGTAATATTCCATGTCATTCTCTTGTTTGGTAAGCACCTTCTCTACCTTTGATATAGAACATATTCAGGTGTGGTCCATTTGATTTGTGAGATCGCGTTGGGCTGTTAAATTTGGGTGGTTGTGCTTGTGCTGTCAAGTGCGAAGGTATGTGGATTCCTTCTACCTTTTTCATTGTTAGTATGTCTTGTTTTTGTTACGAGTAGTTCCTGCCACATCGGTCCTTAAACAGTTCGCCTCAAGTGGGTGTGATATTAAACTTCTTTACTAGTTGCCACGCAGAATGTTTGTAAATGCAGATCAAACCTTTTTGTCCTTTTATTGGTTATATTTGTCATTGTCGAAGGATTCCTAGCGCCTCTACTGGTTGTGATTGCTGTCACCGATCTTTGTAAGTCCGTAGTGCCAGTCGTGGAAGCGCACGCATCTGGCTCTCAACGATGATTCGCTCGCTCTGAAGTACCTTCGCAATATAATTCCGCAGGGAATAGCCCACTTGAGCTCTGTTGAGGATATTCGCTCTTCTCAAGGCAGCCTTCTTGCTTTTAACCACGCCAGCTCTCCTGTTTATGTCTAACCTAACATCCGATGCTCCTAATTTTACGGCTCTTCGGAATGTAAAGCGAATGGGTCCAAATTCTTGAACTTTTCTGAAGTGGGGATTGCAATTTAGGTCTCCAGTAACTGGTCCTTGTGGCTAGGAGCTAGCTCACCGCCTGCAGAATGTATTTATTCAAATCATTTGACCCCCCTCCCTCCCCCTTCTTTTGAGCGGTTTCACGGCCAATCTTCCTTAACTTTCGTCCCCTTGAACATCACACTAGGGGCGTAACTGGGATATAATATTAAGATGTTTGAACCCCCACTGTGTCTTCTAAGGTGTGTGGATGCGTAACTGCTCAGATACTGCGGTGTTGGGAGACAAGAAAACACAATCGTTCAACCAACCTTTTTTTTGCGTGTTGTTTGGCCAACCGCTTAACCCGTTCAGACTTCGCGAACGCGCGATTTGATCGCTCGACGGTCGCGCGACCAGAACCGGGCGCTCCATCGCCAAAGTTGCACCGCCCCGGCACGATCCACGTTGGCCCTGTGTGAGCGCGGCTCAATTTGAATTCTGCTGTTGCGACGGCGCATTGGTTGACGATGGAGCTCGCTCAGTCGTGGTCGCGCGGTCCAGTCGAGCGATCTCATGGTGCGATCGCGAATTTTGAACTCGGTCTTAGACTGGTTTGAAGGTTGTGCAAGGGCAGCCACTCAAAGCAGCCATCAGTGAGCAGAGTGCTTGACGAAATTACTTGGTATGGGTATTTGTATGAACTGACAATGAGCTGAGCGTATTTCGTTCAGGAGCTCTTCAATGCAAGTTGATTGACTCTACGGCCACTGGATGATGCGTGCAAAGTACGTAAATCGACTCATCAATCATTCAATCAATCATTTTCAACTATTGATTTCTGTGTCCCTCCCAAGATTTTTAGCGCCACATTTGCTCCGGGCTACTGATCGTAGAATTTTTCCTTGGTAGATGAGAGGGTTCACAGACTTTTTTCAGGTTTTCCTTCTTTTGTATTATACGGGATTAACTTGAAAAGGGTTTTGGTGCCCTGACCTTTTCCGCGATCTAGCATGCGTTTTTTTTTCTTTCGAATTAGTAAATAGTAGAGTTTTCAGGTTATGATGTCGGGTAAAATGAAACCAGCCATGCGACGGATATTCTACTGTGTGACTCGTGGTTTTCACAAATCTTCCACTAAATATGCTCGATGGCGGGACAGCTACAAGATGGGGCAATTTATGCCAGAGCTGGGCGATAAAAAACCAACACACATTGTCGTCGGTGCAGGCTCTGCTGGATGTGTTATGGGTACGAGTTTTGCTAGGCTTTGTTTTATTTATTTCAATGGTTTTTTTTAAGTTTCTAGTCCTTTCCATGGGTATTCTCTCGCTGAGATCACCCAAATTGACTGTTCAGCCTCTCGATTGTCTGAGAATCCAAATAATCGAGTGTTGATGATCGAGGCCGGTCCACAGGATCATTGGTGGGACTGGCGATTACATATGCCTGCAGCATTGATGTACAACCTCTGCCACGATCGATACAATTGGTACTACCATACAGTGGCACAGAAGAATGCAGCGAACCGCACGTTCTACTGGCCAAGAGGCAGGTCGGCTTGTGTTTGGTGGTCAAGTGAAATGCTTTGGCGGTGCTTAGACATCTAACTTGACATTGACGTATTTTCCGTTTGTTTTTAGTTTTACATATTGAAGTAAGACGGCTTCTTTATGTACTTTCAGAGTTTGGGGTGGATGTTCGTCATTGAATGCGATGGTGTATGTACGAGGTCATCCACTCGATTATGATCGATGGGAATCTGAGGGTGCAAAAGGATGGAATTACAAAAATTGTCTACCGTACTTCAAAAAAGCCGAGACTTATACCCATTCAAAGGTAAGTCTTAGCATAAATGTGCGTTCATACTTTGAGTAAGCGTTTTGAGGGTACGGAACACTAGATCGATATTACTTTCCTGGAACTTTTCTTTCTTTTTCTGAGAACTCTAGCAAACACTCAAAGCGCTGACGCAAAATATAGACGCACTTTTGGAATCTTTGAACTTTGTCAGCATCTTCTTCCTACCTGCTGCCGTTTTAGGGCCCTGACGATCCATACAGAGGTAATAACGGGCCGTTATACGTGACTCGCGGCCATGCTGAACATCCATTGCATCAAGCGTTTCTCGAAGCTGGCCGTCAGCATCCCGTAGGGACCACTGAGGACATGAACGGCTTCAAGCAAGAGGGTTTAGGAACCATGGATATGACAATTCGTGATGGTGTACGGTAAGCTACTTGTCTTTGCCTAAGAGTTGATATTTTTGTTACTTTCTTCGGGTCTGTAGATTGCTCGGTGTAGTTCGGTGACGAGGGGGGTGAGGCGTTTTGCATTTTTCTACTCCCCATCGACGTGTCGAGTCATCTAGAGAGCTTCAAGAGCTAACAAGAGTTGACTGGTTCTACCATAGCTTGCTCCAACTTCACAGGAGTTGACAGCTTTAAGGGTAAGATATGCAAGCCGGAACTAGTGTAGCAGCAAAAGTGCAAACCTTCCCCCCCCCCTTCCCCCTTCCCTAGTCGCCGAACTGTCTTTTTTCTGCATTCTTTCATAGAACTAGATGAGTTGCTACTCCAGCTCTTGAAGAATCAAACCTACTCCTGCCTGCAAATGTAGTGAACGGGGGTGCTGTCCGGCTTGGAGGGAGCCGTTTTGCACTTTCGCTGGTTTCTTTTGCTAGATCTTGTCAAATTACGCGTACCATGGGTGAGACCTGTAAATTTTTGTCAAATGTAAACCCAGCTCGTGTCATTCCGCGGCTTCCAAGAGTTATCTGGTCTCCAGAGGAGGCACCGGCGTTGATGATGAGAACCAGCAGAATGCCTCCATCAAGCCAAATGCGAATAGGCAGCGTTATAGCTGTGTTCTTACTTCATGACTCGAGCGATTCAGTCGCGCGATTGGAGAGTCGCACAATTTGGTAGGCGTACGAGTGTGGTAAAATGCCGCTCCAGCGCTTTCTATTGGTCTGCTGCGACTCATAATTCAATGGCTTTCTTTGACAGCGGTCGAACGATGCGGCGTGATCGGCCTCAATCGCATGATTCACGAAGTATGAACCTGGCCTGAAAGGAACTGAGCTGGGTTCAGTCTA